TAACTAGAGTTACAGTCTCCCACTCCAGATTGTTAATCAACCAAAGACCCAGATGGGGTTTAATTCATTTGAAAGTCTGATGCTTACCCTTGTTCCTAGTTGGAAAACTCATAAGTCTTATTTGTTATTATCTGTTGTTCACCCGGCTGGTTTCTGTCTGATTTCTCAGACTTTTTATCTGATTTAGTGCTCAGCTCAGATAAAGCAATTATTGTAGATACTAAAAATATTAGCCTCAAGATAGCATTTAGTCTATTATTAGACTCAATTGCCTTTTAATCACACTCTAGTGTTTCTTGTTAGAAACTAACATTTAAATTCTTTTCTGAAACCCTCTTTTGTCTGATCATTTCCTAATAGCATTTACATTTACAATGATGGATTACACAGCAGTGAAAGTCTTTCTGAAAGTGCTGTAACTAAGATTAAGGGTATAATTCATCCACTGACATCTTGTCCAATACCTTGTGCTAACACAGTGCAGACTAGCTATCTGAGGGCTACTTCCAGAGAGGCAGATTATCATATTAATAATTTTACTATTTCTACTCTTTTTTTACCCCAAATTAACCTTTCTGGGTTAACTTCAGTAATTACTTTTCCCAAACCATCAGCTTTAGGTATTGAAGGTACAAGGTACTTGTAGTGGTTTGAATCAGATCTATCTAATAGATCCAATAGGTGTAAATGGAGTGTCCTCTTCACACACTTAAGTTAATTATGGATTTCTGCAGAGTTCTGTGCTAGGACCAATTCTGTATTCATTATACATGCTTTTCTTAGCCATTATCATTAGAAGGTATAGCATACATTTCACTGCTATGCAGATGAAACCCAACTTTATCCATTCATGAAGCCAGATCACACACACACCAACTTAAACTGCAGGAATGTCTTTAGGACATAAAGACCCGGATTGCCTCTAATGTTTTGCTTCTAAATTCAGCTAAAACTGAAATATCTCAGAAATATGGTATCTAACCAGATTTTTACACTGGATGGTATTCCTTGGCCTCCAGTAACACTGTTGGGCCAGTAACACATATCCTGTCATTTTTGACCAGGATATGTCCTTCAATGCACATGTTAAACTACGTTTTAATATATATGTGTGTTTCTTCTATTTGTGCAATATCTCTAAAATTAGAAACATCCTGTCTCAGGGCTGGATCAGGTGACCCTGAATTCTCCCTTAGTTACAGTGCAATAGGTCTAGGCTGCAAGGGGATTTCCATGATGCACTGAATGTTCCTTCTTCATTCACCTTTTTCACTCACTATGTGTTCATACACCTCTTGTCTTGCTCACAGGGGGCATTTAACTTTTAGGATTTTCTCTGTTTTCTTTGTATTATTGTAGGGCCTTTTCCCCTACAGTACAAAGCGCCTTGAGGCAACTGTTGCTGTGATTTGGTGCTAGATATATACAACTGAACTGAATAAGATGTTATTTCATTGATCTGTGTAGTCCTAAATCCTTGTTTCTTTTTCTTTTGAGATACTGAATAACTAAATACAGAGCAAGTACATGAAAGTAACTGAAATTTTTTTCTCATCAAAATCTCTTGACTGTATAGCAGCACTGATCAGGTGCATGACTAGCAGCAGCAACACAAGGCACATACTGAGTTTAAGAAAGTGCAAGAGGATTCTCGGACAGTTAATTTCTTCCATCCTTGGGGATGGAACCAAACCAACAGTGATGATAATAAGAAATCTAGATGCCTAAAATGAGAGAGAAACAGGAAAGGTGAACTTTTCTTGACAGATTCAGATTATATCTGCCGCCCTGTTGCTCATTCTAATGCCTTCTGAGTTGTTTATATTTATTTACAGCTGCTCTCATGAGCTCAATGGTCAAAGGTAAAACATAATTCAATTAAAGCCCTGCTGGGAGGATAATACCTACCGGTGTCATTAGGTGCTGTGCTCGTTTTTGGCCCCTTGACGCTATCTATATCACCCTAAGTACTTTAAGGACTCACTTAGGATATAATCCCATGTTGCACAGGGATAGATGGCTGATGCAAGGACAGCCTTTGGTGCAACAGTGCTGAGATAATCAGAGAGATGCACAGTCATGCTGGCCTGCTGCAAAGACTCACTGCTGTTTTTTCAGCCTTCACAAAGGTACAACCTATATGTGTGTGTGTGTGTGTGTGTGTGTGTATCTGTATGTGTGAGTGTGTATGTGTATGCTGGCTGGCTTAATATTGATGACTTGCATAAAAGAAACTTATTGTCTGGTGTTGCATTTTGATGATCTTCTCCATTACTCTCTTTCTACTTGTTTCTGGCTCCGTTTTCTTCTAACGAGGACATCTTTTCTCGGTTTGTGCACGCCACCCATCCCCCACTTCCTCTTATTTCACTTGGTGTGACTCTGAGGTTTGGGTTGTCGTGACAACAGAGGACACAGGCCCATCTCTATTCTGTTTGCAAGTTTCTGTTGTTGCAAGCATATTGCACATTTGCTGCTGGGATAGGGGAAGAGCCTTGCACCACCATCCCCCACCCACACCTTGTCACAAACATGCAGGCGTGAATGAGTTCTCAGAATTATAAATGAGATACAAAGTGCTTCCTGTAATTTATACACAATGTTTTAGACTTGCAAGACAGTAATGTCTGACTTTGAGGACCGTGCTGAGGAGCACCGCTCTCCCTTTGCTAACATAACCTTTAAGAGCTTCAGCATCTCCAAAGTGAGCTCCCTCAATCAATAAGTCTACTTTGACTCACTTGATCTTTTATCATTACATTGCTATTTCAGTCAATCCTTAGTGCTGCATTGGCAAAGAGCTACGAGATCATTGGTACACATCCACATAAATTATTATCAAGATCAATATCTATCTGCTTCAGAGACTGACTTTTGTTTTAAAAGCAGTTGCCACCTCGTAAAGTATGTCCTTAAAAGGGTTGAGATCACGCTTGGCAGCAGCGGTGCAGTCGGCCAGGACCTGGGTGTACACTCTGAATTTGCATATGTGCATGTGTGTGTGCGCGCTTGTGGTTGTGTCTGTGTGTGCAGATGTGCAAATAAACACTTAAATTAGACCTCCTAAGATAAACGACGTTAAATTCAGAGGTACTTTTAGGTTGTGAAAATAGATTGATCTGATATTTTTACTTAGTGTGAACACAAAAAGAAATATGAAGTATAGTACAAGTACATGTTTAGGTGTGTACGAGGTAGTTGGACTAACAGCAGCTACAGGTTCATAAGATTACATACACATCAAATTTAAAAATCTCTACAAAAGCTGTTAATACAACTAATAATTCCTGCTTTATCTTAAGGAAATGTGCAAATACTATTTCAACTACTGTGTGGTGTGTGTGCGTACGTGTGTCTTTGTGGGTGTGCATGTGTGTGTGCACATCTGCATATACTTGCATGCATGTATTTTTTGTGTGTGTGTGTGAGAAACTGTTGGGGCTTTTCCTGTGTAAACCACGTGGCTCAGACAGGGTTAATAAAAAGATCACGCTCACTTCTGGGTTTTCTTTCTTCCTTGGACTCCAAACGCTGGTAAGACCCTGATGACAACTTGAAAATCTGATGATCAACGTTTTTTAAACACACTAACATACTAAGACATTACTACTTCATTTCAGCCTAATTTTGAGCAACATGTCAAGTCTTTTGAATGTTTTTCTTTCTTTTATCAAGAATGATAACGTGAATTTTGATCGTGTGTTCGGTTCAGTTTGTGAAGCCTTGCCTTTGATTAACCTTCAGTTTTCAGTATTTGCGGTGGATCGACCAGAAGCTACTTGATGTACAGTGTTGTCACCCATAAAGTAGAAAGCACTACTAAACTTTACTACACAGTGTAGTGTTTCCTACTTTATGGATGAGTATACTGTTTGCTGCAGAGGAAAGTAAAAGAAGAAACCAGACCGACTATATGAACATTTGAAAACCTGCTGAACTTCTTTGTTATTTTAACCAATAAATTTTGTATTTCTTTTTATTACAACAAATGTATTTACCAGACAAGAAAAGAACTGAATGTCAATTTTTGGTCCATTGTTAAAAGAAAAATCAGGTAAGGAAAGTAAGAATTAGGACAGTTTATTTTCAGTTTAACTACAGCTCTTACATTTGTTACATGATTAAAACTTTTTTCAGTTATAACAAGAGTCTCTTTATTTTTACAAAAAATTGCTGCAAAATTCCAAAATGTTTTTTTTTCTTTTTAAATAACTTATATGAAATAAGCCAGTGATAGAAAATATATACACAGGGCATAAGGCAAAAAATGGAAATGCTATATCAAACACTGGGGAGAAAGAAATCTGTAAATTGTGTATTATTAAGGCTAAAATAATTTATCCATTCCCATCAGGTAATTTTATTTAGCAAGTCCAGTTCTTGTGTTTTTGTGAAAGCGCCTAAAGCAAAAATTGCCAGACAAAAATTTAGTATCTTACCTGTAATTTTCAAAATATGCATATTGTAATATTCTGTTTTTTTGTTGTTCATGGTTTTTTTTTTGGTTTTTTTTTTTTTTTTTGCATCAAAGGGTTTGTAAGTATCTGTTATTTCAATAAAGAAAACATTTAAACAAAGGTCTGAACTCTTTTTTAGTTTTGAGCCATTCCTTATTGATACTAACAAGGGGTTCATTAGCTGCTTACTTTCAGTCTAAAACGGATGCAGTTAGTAGAATATAAAAATAAAATAAACTATTTTTTGATATATGAAGGTGTCCTTTTAGCCATATTTTACATAGAAACTTCTGGTTTCTCACTGCGTCTGTGACTTGGCATTTGTAGCAAACAGCTTAGCGTGCATTTTTTTCTAATCCCCAGGGGAAACAGCTGCAGAAAGTTTGATGGAACCAAACCTCGTTGGTCCGTGAAGATCTCCCTGAAGTTGAAATTAAAGTTTAGCTTTCTGTACAGACATCAGTATGAAAACTAAACACCAGTCACTGTATTGTAAGTGCAAGGATATGCTTACATAGTAAAACCCATCTTGATCCATGTCACCTAAAACATATATGATATCTCCCGAACGAAAGCCGAGTTCAGCCTGTAAGACAGAGCAAGTCAAAACCAGTTTGTGTAAAACAGTAGATTAACAGTAGACTTAAACAGTAGATTAATCTTCATATTTTAAATATATAATATATGGTAATGTTACTTCACAGTGCTTACTCACCTGTCCATGTTGGGTGAGTTTTCCCATGGATCATAGTCAAATAAGGCTACCATTCGTCTAACAGCCCCACTGTCAGGGATACTGGTGACATCGCTCAGGTCTGGTGTTAGAGACATGCCTGCAGTACGAAAAGCAAACGTCCCAATGAAGCTTTCATGCTAACATAGGAGATAAACAAACACTCCACGCAGTGACAGTGGTAGTGTCATATTTTTACAATCAGTAAATTTTGCATTCACATTTCTAAGCGACGTGCGTGATAATTTTATTCACTGTTATTTGTCCTAATATCTGTTGTAAACTTCCTGTAGGGAGGAGCTCATTGCAAACATCCTCTCACAGATCATCTCTGAACGGCCTCGTTCCAAATTATGCCACAATAATTGTTTTTCAATTATACTTCAGTTACCCCAGCAACACTGTTTTGCCAGCGTGTTACAGTAAACAGGCTAATACCTGTGTGGTCCACGGGGAGGAATCCTGCTGCATGAGTAGATGCTTCAGATACTCATCATCCACTGGGATCTCAGCCACCATATTACTCGGCACATAGCCAGAAAGCCCGCCAGACTCACCATGATAAAACCCATCTGCGTCTTTGTCTCCAGTAACCTAAAAAAAACCAGCACCAGCAGTTACTTTTATAACTTTAGGCTTGGTTTCTGAATAAAAGAGTGTATTTATTGCATACATGTATTTGTCTGTATTTATGTGATGCAGCAGCAGACAGATTCAGAGAAAAAAGGCGGTAAATCACATCAATCAGATGAAAAAGGTGACAGGAAATGAAGAAAAAAAACCTATTGTCTTCTTACACATTTAACTGTCGTGACTCCAGCACAAACAGGAAACACTATAGGTTCTTTCAAAGAACATTTTGAACTGATGAAGAGATGAAACGCAACTCAAACACAGAGAAGCGCTTCGGTTTAGTATTGTACAGAGTGCATGAAATTACACTTAATCTTACCTTGATGATCTGGCCTGGCACAAAGGGCAGCTCTTCTGCAGCTGTCTCGTGGTTTGGAGACATGGCAGCCGGGTTGTACGGGTAAAGTGCAACAAAGAGCCGGACGGTGGGTATGGACACCTGGCTCGCAGTTTCCAGCTCCCAGTCCCTGAGATCCTCCGGAGTAGCGATCCTTACTTCATCTGGGTATATCAAAACATCCAACTCGAGCCTTGTCTCCATTTACAGCAAAGTGAGTGCTCGACTGTCCACCTGGCAGACAGATGGCCACTGTAGACAGCAGACCTCTCCTTAGCCTCAACCTAATGTGAGGTAACTAAGCTAAGCACAAGGAACAGTAATCCTCTTTGAAGCAAGTAGATAGATTCATTAGTTCAGCACTGCCAAACTGCACTGTGTGCAAAGCAACAGGAGCACAAGATGAAATAACTTTAGTTTTAATGCAGATATTTGAAAAGCAAATATGCTTCCAAATATACTTGAAAGGAGAAGTTCAAAAGTAGAGAAAACAGACCTTTTTAAAAAAATATTTCTTAATGACACATAGATACGTTTAACTGTAGCTCTGTTCGTAATATTTATTTTCTTTTATATACTTTCTTTTGCATTGGTCCTCGTCTCATAGGCCTCGCCAGAGATACTGGTGGGTTTTATCTGGTTGCTCTGGTTTTCTTCTGAAGCGTTGCAATTTATTTTCTTTTAAGTAAAACAATGGTTCTCGTTGGAGAACAAAGCCCTTTATCAGTGTGAGTGTGAATAGTTCAGTGTGGCTGGTTGTGTACAGTGTAGAGTGTATAGTTTATATGTGGCTCTGCTTCCTTAAACTATCAAGCCTTGCTCAATTAAGGAAGTAGCCTTGTTTTCTTGTTTCGTCTTATTGCTCCTCCTCCTCCTGACATGACCCAGTTTTCATCGCTGAAAGTCGACACTTCCTTTCTTCACCTGTGGCCAAGTCAGCAGGTGATAATCTCCTCCAGCAGAGATTATCAATCATTGCTGCTGTTTACTCTTCCAACCATTAACTGGCGCTATGTTGTTTGAATAACTGAAAGTTGTATCTGAGGAAGTTGAGGCTGAGTAGCTTCAGGTGTTGTTGATTTTATTCACTTCATTAATTTTGTTCAGTTTTTGTTTTTTGTTTGTGTATGTTTTGGACTTTGAGAAATGCTTTTCTGTAAAGACTGAAGAATATTATCTTTCTTTATGTATTAACTGCCACTATTCATTACTTTAGCTTACTCAGCCCTCATTTTCCCATTATTCCCATCTGATTTATTTTGTCTCACCTTTATTTGACAGGACAGTGTAGAAAGTAAACAGGAATGAAGCGAGAGAGAGGGTGAAATGCAAAAAATGGACTCAAACCTCAACCAGATGAGCTAAACTGGTGCCCAATTATGTTTCAGTTTTACTGCTGAGAGACTAAATCTGTGTTTTAATGTTGATGATTAAAAGAAGAACCAGCGAACATGTGCACTCACTGCTTTTTGTCCTCTTCAGTTGTTAGTTAGGCTTTTCAAAAGTCAGTTTTCATTCAGACAGTCATTTGTTCTCATATGCCCTCTTTATTATTTTTGCTCTTTTGGATCATTTTGTTCTTACATTATGAGCCAAGCAGGCTTTCCAATTAACATCTTTGATTATTTTGAGTTAAATGATTCAGGTTCTGTTACTTGCTTCCAAACGATTATATGATTAGTTTGTCTGTTTATCTGTTTGCTAGCAGCTAAAGAAAAGCCACAGACAGTTTTAGATGAAATCTTTACCAGAGATAAAGCTAGCCCTAACATAGATTCTTTCCCAATAAGAAATAGAGCATAACTTGACAAATACACATTAAACTGAAATACGAAATGTTGGTAGACATCTCCTCCTTGTTATCACGAAATTATCAAAAACAAATCTGGACCCAGGGACCAGGTTGACTGTTGGTGATATGTGACAGAATCTTGTTTTCTTAACTAACAAAAGAACCATTTTTAATAATTATTAATCAGAAAAATCTACATGGAGGTGTAAAGCAGGTTCAGGGAGTTGGTGCAGTCTATTCAGTATAAATCAGCATATCAACCACACCCCACTACTCTGCAGAGGGCTATGTATGATTAGTAGGTTTTATTTTTGATTTGGTTTGGATTATTTTTGCATTTTTACTGGAATACTACAATTTTTCTCGCATTTATGAAATCATGTAACTACAATGATGAAATTTGTTTGCTTTTTTCTCATTACACATCCTAATAGATGGAAAAGAAGGATGTATAGGCCAAGTTTATGTAGCTCTAAAGATATAAATAAATAGATTAATAAGGAAAGAAGAAAGAAAGAAAGAAAAAAGAAAGAAAAGAAAGAAA